TGGGCGGCACTTTCCAGAGCCTCACCTGCCATTAAAAGGAAAAAAAAAATTATCCTTACCCAAATTCACTGACGAGCTCAGCCTCCTCTCTCCAATGCTGGTAGGAGGGATACAGCGCACACCGGTTGCTATTTAAACAGGTGCTCGCCTTATCCAGCTTTCGACAGGGTAAGCAAAATGCTCGCAAGCTTCTCCGCTACGCTAATAGCGCAAGCTGTCAGAAGCTAGATACAGGTATCCAGGTGGCCCTAGCAACGTGCACTTCTGGCACCACACATTTTATGCTGTATGCCCATATGCCTGTATTTATGTCTGTGTGCATGAGCCCTTACAGCAGAGCTGGGCAACTCCAGTCCTCCAGCTGTTGTGGAACTACAAGTCCCATGAAACATTGCAATCCTGACAGTTACAGGCATGACTCTCAGAGGCATGCTGGGATTTGTAGTTAAAGCACGGCTGAAGTGCTGGAGTTGCTCACTCCTGGCTTGGAGAGATTCCCCCCTCTCCCCACTCACTCCTTGTGCTGGTGTAACAGAATCTACAGGACCACCAATAATAAAAACCTGAGCGCTCTTATCCTTATCCTCTGTATTCCAAATGCAAAATCAAGCTTTGGCTGAATTGCTACTTTAAATACATTAAAGAAACATGTCACTAACAGGCAAGGACTTACCAGGCACTGTTTTATTATTAGTTAGTGTCACTGCTGATGAACTGGGCTATCCAGAGATGGTCTCTATGTAATCATGTGCGTGTGTGCAAAGCCAGAGCTGCTGTCCCTAAGAGGGTTTATACAAAAATACTCTAGGCCTTATTAAACAAAAAAGATTTAATACTATAAAATGAGCTAGAGTTCACCGGAGGTGTCAGACCTGTGTGTGTAAATATTCTGCTTCCTGTTTTGAGAAAAGAAAAGATTATCTGGCTGAGACTATCAGAAGCAGAGCCGCACTTGTGTTGTGTTCAGTTCTCAGGTTATCCAGCTGCTCTGACGGTTAACCCTGTAGGCCCTAACCGGTTAATTACATACCTCCTAACTGTCACTTATTTGGAACCAAATCCCTTTGTCCCTCTTTTGTCCTCAGTTGTCCCTCGTTTTGGTCTGATGTATGCATATCTATGAAAAGCTTTTATTTAACTACCAAAAGCAGGGATGCACCAGTGCCGATTTTTTTTTCTGGTACTCGCCAATAGCGAACACCAATACTGGAAGTCCCATTAAGGAAGCCGGGTGGCATGTAATGACTTGCCGTCCAGCTTCCTGATTACCCAGAAAGCCGGTCGGCATGTAATTGACTCACCACCCAGCTTCCCGGTTATCGGGGAAGACGTCTCCATGCTCCGACATCACCAGGTGATGAGGAAGCATGAAGCCGGCTTTCTGGTCAATCCCGGGGGGCAGGTAATGACTCACCGCCAAGTGGTGACCAGTGTAACGACTCGCCACCCAGCTTCCTAATACCGAAGGTTCCGGTATCAGGATAGGCATCGGAAGCATTTGGGCGAGTACGAGCCCAAATAATTGGTATCGGCACTAATACTAGTATCGGTATCTGTGCATCCCTAATCAAAATTGTTATTCTGCACTAAACCCTTCACCTTATTTCATTGCCTAAATACACTGTACTGGAAGGTGTCCCTCTTTCCCATCTCAGAATCTATCACCTGCATTTCAACAGTAGCACTTCTGATACAACATTTCCATTTCAGTCATTTTTATTGATGTTCAAGGTAAGACATAACAACAGCATTGCCCAATGCAGGGGCCATGCAACAACTTATAAGTGCACCATAAGAATTAGGGTATACAGAGTGGTGACGATCAACAGTGGGTTGTCCAAAACCAGTTTGAGGGGGTTATGAACTTCCCAAGTATTGTAATAGAAAAACTTAAACACTCAAAAGTCAAAGGATAAAACTGGGGAATATTACAGTGAGACCTCGTTCACGAACGCCTCTGTTCACAAACAATTCGGTTCGCGACCAGGAAGTTCGTCAAAATTTTGCCTCCATTCGCGAACTCTGCCTCGGGTTACGAACACGACCGCGGCCCTCTTCCTCGCTCTGACACATGGTCGTGGATTCCTGTACTCGAGTTTGCGGTCGCAGACAGGGCTGTGGACACTTACTGTGAAGCTTTTTTGTGTGCTTTGTAGCACAGTACTGTACAGTATTACTGTATTCAATCCAGCATGGCTCCCAAGAAAGTGCAGAGCAAGCGTGGTGGGAAAAAGTAAGCGCAGAGCATTAATGAAGGTGACAAGAATGTGCTGAGCATTAATGAAGGTGACAAGAATGTGCAGAGCGTTATTGAAGGTGACAAGAAAGTGCAGAGCAAGCATTTCAGGTCAAGCAAAACTCTAGCAGTTACTGATAGTGATGGAGCTTGCCCACTCCCTCCCACCTCCTTTTGGTCACTGAGACAGCCCATCATAGTGATGGGCCAACAGAAATTCATGGGAAGTGAAAGGGAGCAGGAAAGGTCTGAGCTTTGCCCATTGAGAGCAATCCAGCATTTGGGCGTAACAGAGTAATATCGCTAAACGCTTGAGGGCTCCCTCTAGTGGCTAATCTACAAATCTGCACATCAGATTCCAGATTGCTGCTGTCATCTTAAATCTGATTGCCTCTTTTGTGTTATTGTTTTCTTCACAGCTGTATTTGTGCTTGAATTCTGTATGACTTAACAATGTGTTTGTATAAGTTCACATCTGTGTGTGTCCCTGTTAGCTATGGACAGATAAATAGATAGATAGATAGATAGATAGATAGATAGATAGATAGATAGATAGATAGAAAGACAGATAGATATTGATATTAAGATAGATAGATAGATAGATAGATAGATAGATAGATAGATAGATAGATAGATAGATAGATAGATAGATATTGATAGATAGATACATTAGGATAGATGGTTAAATACACCTTAGGGGCAGCTGAGGGCACATAAGAGGAGGTGAAGATCATGCTCAACATGGGACATGATTCTTTCCTCATCCCGTGGCACTTTGCTACGTTTACATTGCTTTGAATGTAAAAGACCATCCCATACACAGCATTCTTCCTGCAGCATTTTGTCCACGGCTGAACCACTCTTCTAATAGAGGAGCCCACTGGGAGAAGCAATTGAAAATAACAGGCAGTCACAGCCTACAGGCTTACAGCACTTGAGTTGCCATGCCACAACTGCCCACCTGCTGAATATTGGAGTGTGAACTGAGCCATTTAACTCAGGGCACACATTTGAACACATAATTTAAGAAACTCTCTGCAGGGTTCACACCTGCCTGCCCAGCACCCACTATAGCTGCAGTGTGGATTAGTCCAAATACTCACCATATACTATATTGTTTAGGCTTTGCTATAAATCTTAAGGCACTGTAGCTTTCAATGAATGCATGCTAACAGTGGAACTGAATGATTATAGTCTGCATTAGCTTTGGGGATATATAAAGTAGTGTTTTACATATAAATAAAAAAAATCCACAAGAGGAGAAAGACTGCAGCTTTAAGTGCTCAGCACAACACATATAAACAGTACAATGTTATACAATGCATAGATTAAAGATAAATATTGATGTAAGTAAACAAATACATACATATACAGGTGAATGCGTAAAATGAAAGTATCAGTTCTAAAATAACTAATAGTATATAATACAACTCCTACCCAATGTCACTTACAGTATACCTGCATCAAACATCCTGGGAGCTGCAGTCCAACTCTACTGCAAACCTTGATTGTACTTATAAAACAAGGCAAGGAAATCTCTGCAAATGACAATAGCCTCAGATACCAACAATCCAATTTTCTATCATCTGACTTTAGTAAAATAAAAACCTAATTGCCTACACTGGGCTGCTGCAGACTTTTTGTGCAAACTCACTGCCCTTTCAATTGCCCTTTTAATTGGAACCTTTCAGTATTGAAACATAGAAGTTGTTATTGCCAACTTTTTGGTGCAAGATCAGATGTGTTATCCTCTCTTTTCCTTGTCTCACTATTAATTGAGCTGGAAGAAGCATGCAGCCAGTAAAGTATCAGGAGTCATCAAATAGTAAATGAAGGAGAATGACAACCCTGGAGCTTGATAATACAAGTCAGCAATGGTCAACTATCTATAATGCCAGGGTTTCGTTTGACAAGTACACACAGCTTTACTGCTTCTTTGGAATGTCATCATTTGTCTTCTATTTACAAACAGTGAAAAGACACAATACACATTCATTTATTAAGTCAGTGGAAAGTGCAGTATCCCCAGCAAGCAGTCTCTTTCCTTCAGTGACTATAGTCTGATTAGTTGCTATGGCTTACAGAACTTTACATATAGACATACCACTTTGAAGTGCTTTAATAAATAAAACAGCCCAAACTTATTTGGAAGGATTGTTCTGCTACTTTTAGCTACTACACCAATGCTCAGACACTTTTATTGAGCAAAACAAATGTGATTTTTACATATATTTGCTTGGGACAATGAAAACACATGGGGGGCTTCTCCACCAGGGAAAGTTTGTGAAAGTTACATTCTCTGCTTGATAAATAGACCCCTTATATAGAGTGGACCGTGATACAAAACTTTCTTTTTAGATTTGGCTGGAGTGGGTAAAGGTTACAACTTCTGACAGGTTTTATTGCAGTGTGTGATGACTTCCCCTCTCTTCCTTTTCTAGTGATGGATGGTTAGGGTTAGGATAAGTGAAACACATATAACACTTTTAATAACATAGGGGAAGGCTAAAAGTTCTATCTATATTTTAATGTGTCCTCTGTTACTGAGACAAGAAGTGTAAGCGTAAAATAGAGAAAAATGCTGAAAGAGCTTCTCTTTCTTCCCAAGTCTAACCAAAAAGTTGTGTCTGGAGTTCCACTTCAATCAGTGTATCTATCTAGGAGTATTACCTTTAATGAGTTGGTGGCTACACAGTGACTATAGCTGATAGAAGACCAATATAATGCAGGTACAACATGCAGATGTGGGTTGGAGAGGTCTTACCTGTCAATGCTAATGACACATAAAGTCATAATTGAAGCTGTGCAGCACATTACATCCATTGCAATAAACACGTTGCAAAAGACATGCCCGAAAATCCATTTTCCCCCGATCAGATCGGTGACACTGACAAAAGGCATGACAGCTATAGCCACCGACAAGTCAGCCAAAGCCAACGACACGATCAAGTAGTTAGAAGGCTGCCGAAGTTTCTTGACAAAGCAGACAGAAATGACTACTAGGCAATTCCCTGCAATAGTCAGCAAAGTGATAAGAGACAGGATGGCTCCTATGACGAGCTTCTCAATGTGACCATAATTAAGGATCTGCTCCCCACACTTGGTGTCATTTTCACTGAGGAAGCTGGAGGTGGGAATTGGACTAATTGTGGTGGCATCTTGGATGATCTTCAGCAAAGGCGGGTTCAAAGAGCCAGAAATCATTATGGAGGTGCTCAGGTCCTCCAAATTTTCTATAACATAGGACCTGATGTCACTGAATATGTTGCTGCTGTTGATGAGGATGACCATTGTGGTTTGTGTAGCCCATGGGTAAACCCCCAATGACTGGGTCCAGCTCTTTCCAAGTGGTGACAATGAACATACAACATGAGAGTTTAATTTTCAGCCTTAGAGGTAGAATCCAGCTTTAAATGGGTGCACATTCTTTGTTCCCCTTTTATGTCTTCTCAGAGCCATTTTTGGTGACCCCAGTTTATCTTTAGAGCCGTCACAGTCTTGGTAGTCATTCTTCAGCAGCCTGGCTCCTGATGCTCAGCAGTTCAGTGAACTAGCCATCTAAGTAATGAATTCACAAAATATATCCTCAGCTGGTCATCCAAGGCAAAGATAATGGGCTTCTGTCTTGCTACTGTCCCCAAGTTCCAGAAGATCAAAGTAGTTACCTTGAGAGTTTCTATCAGTGCTCTTTCTTGAGATGCTTGAGTTTTCAGGCTGGCAAAAAGAATGCATTCACTTCAGGCTACACTGTGATTTTAGAGATTTCCCAGGTCCTTTCATGTCGTAGCAGCAACTCAAAGAGAGCGTGTGTAGTTTCTATGCTAAAGGAAAAAGCATCAAATCTTTCAGTTCCATCACACTGCAGTGTAGATGAGTAAGCAGAGTTTGTCACTGTAATGGCGACATCTAGTGGACATGATGTGTAAGTAACCCAGACAGACTGCTACAAAATACATTGTATCACAAGTGTAGACAGTAAAAGAAAACAATGTACTTAGAGAAATACAGACTGCTATTGCTGATTTCTCTGTAAAAATCTCAGTTCTTTGAGATACTGACCCAAAAAAAAGCAAGTGTATCTGAAAAGTCAAAGTATAGTCAGAACTCTTAATCTGCATACTCGGCCGCTAGACCAGAATGGAGGCCAGGGAGCTAGCATTTTTTTTAATGAAAAGCTCATATGTCCATGGGTTTCTTTTAAAGCTTGCCATGAAAAGCTTTTACTTCACGGGGCTGAAGCAGGCAAACATTCTCCTTCCTCAAGAGGACCTCACTGCCGTGCAAAGTCCTGCAAATCATTTATAGGGTTTTTCACTGAAGGGTGAAGAGTCTGGACAAGACAGGAGAAGTGAACAATCTGGGACAACGTAGCTGATTTGGAAAAATTCTCCAACTCAGCTCACTTTCCAGTTCAGCAGGGACGTCCCAAGGCTGGGTGACACCCGGAGGGGAGACCGGGTGACACCCCGCAGTGACTTCATCGCGCTTGACTATGCTGCGCGCGTGTGCGATGATGTAATCGCGCATGCGCAGTGACATCATCGTGCATGCGCTGTGTCTTATTGACTCCTGCCGGCGGCCATCTTGGTGATGGACGCCGGCCGAGAGAGGAGGGGACGCTCACCCGGCGGGATGAGGTATGCCGCCGGGTCCCCTCCTCTCTCCTGACCAAGTGACCAAGTGCCCGACTTTTCAGAGGGGGTGACCCCAAAATGACTGTTAGACATTTTGGTGTGACCCCTCCAATGGTGTCACCCGGGTGCGGGCCGCACCCCCTGCACCACCTTTGTAACGCCACTGGCTGAGGGTGACAAGGCTATCAGTGACTGCAGGCATTAGCCCACACATCTGTGACCGAGTGCTCGACTTCATAGGGAGTGACACCAAAATGACTGCCAGTCATTTTGGTGTCACCCTTCCAATGGTAGCACCCGGGTGCAGTGCTTATGAGCAGGGTAGCCAGGAAATACAATTGGAGCTGGACGTACTGTGCCATATAATCTAAATTAATTTTAGGGGTAAGAAAAAGTCTTGAGTGTTACAGAAAACCAATGTGTGCCCGGACTGTTGCTTATGGTCCTGTTCTTAGAACAGTAGGGAAACGTCCATTAGCGTGCAGGTACATGCATGGATTAGCGTGTGGAACGCGCACAGGAATACGCGTGCAGACACACATGGAGGCGCCATGAAGGCGCACAGGAATTAGCGTAGGACATGCATTAATGTGTAGGCTTATATAAATGGGCATATCGTGTGCACAAATTGCTGAATGGTCTTCATCTAGTTCCCTGCTTATCTGTGACCCAACCTGCCTTCTTATTTCCTGTGTACAACTGGGTTTGCCCCCTGACCCCTCTGACAGCCTATTGTGACCTCAGCCCGTTTACTGGATTCTGTCTTCTGCCTTGCGCTGCTCTGATCTGCCATCGCTGACCTCGGCTTGTGACCCCGACCCTTCTCCTGGTTCTCGACTTGGTACCTCACGGCTCAACTAGTTCAACCTCGGCTTGTGATCTAGACTATGCTCCTGATTCCTGTTTTGGCCTTTCTGCTGCTCAACTGTCACCTCTCTAGTCGCTGGGTCTTGCACCTGAACTCTGCGCAGATTCCACTTGCTACACCAGTACTAGTGCCACTCTGTGTTTCACATTCCCTGTCCCCACTTCCAGGGGTGTTGGACGAGAGGTGCAGGAGAAGTCCCCTTATCATCTTGGTCTCATACAAGGTACATTACAGAAAGACTTAGAAGTATGCTTGCAGGACAGTGAGGATCTCCTAAGGAAGGATAATGTTTGCCTGCTTTAAACCTCTGAAGGTAATCCTGTCCGGAGTTGGGCTTTAATCTGCTAAACCAATAAAATCTATCAGATATGTAGTGTGAATGCCCACCAAAATGATAAGTAATGTTCAACATGCACACCAAACAGTTGTTATTAAATTCTGTGAGTTTGATATATCAAATCTGAAAATAAATCTGACATTAGCCTTCATATTAAGGCAGTCACTTTAAAAGGACAGCACAACTAGACAGTTAAATCCACTCTGCAGCAGTGATCTGTCAATATGTCAAGTGGACAAAGTACAGTACATGGACTGCACTCAGTTCTAGTCATTTAACCCTCAGGAGCTTAGCTGATATCCACTTTAAGAAAGACCACCAATTATGGTACCTGCTAGAAATGTCAAGCTGCTAGTCTCGGCTTGGTTACAATAATCCTGTTGTGCAAAGCACTTCCTGATAAAAGCCATATGATAATTTCCCGAAACAACATTCACCTATCATTACAGATCATTTCCATAACTCATCTTTTCTACCTGATCGGAAAGGTTCATTTATTACCATACCTATGAGCTTAATACACACTGAGATCATTTATAAAGTGCAAAGTGCACTAAAAAGTGAAATCTGATTGCTTGCTACAGTTTACTCATAGCACATCACAAATGTTTCTTGCAGTCCCATCTTAAATATTGCCTTTAATGCTGACCGTGTGCCAAAAATCAATCCCACTCTTTTAGAGAAAAATATTTGGGGGACACAGTTACATTTGATATGAGGGTTCCGCTGTACTAGCATCTGGCTGGAAGCCTACAGGTGATTGTGGTTAAGGTTGAATTAAAGGCCAAGTACCGTATATACTCGAGTATAAGCCGTCCCGAATATAAGCCGAGGTACTGACCATGTTTCATGTTACACCCATATTGCACATTGCAAACCCCTCGGCCCCCCTCCTGCCTTTCCCCAACACTTACCTGAATCGCAAGGTTCTTCTTGCCACCGGCTGCTGCTCATTTTTAGAAATGCCATGGCTGTGTGTGGCTCCATAAAGCCACAGCATCCATTCACAAATGCTTTGAAATCTGTGAATGGAGAAACTACAAGTCCCATAAGAAACTGTGGCAGAGTGACTTGCAGTTTTCAAAGGATTTCACCAGCACACCATAATCTTTGTGTAATCAGCAAAAGTCAATTTATTGAAAAACAATTGCCATTCAAATGCAAGCGCTTTCGGGGCCACACAGGGTCCCCGACATTAGGCTCGTCTTTCTGAGCCTGATGAAGGGGATCCTGTGTGGCCCTAAAAGCGCTTGCATTTGAACGGATGGACTTTTGGACTTTTGCTGATTACACAAAGAGTATGGTGTGCTGGTGACATCCTTTGAAAACTACATGTATATCATGTCGCCATCCGTGGTCACTATGAGCACCTACCTGCATCTTGCAGGTCATCAATTTCGGTAAGGAGTGTAGCAATACATCTCCTGTTGTACTTAGAGTGACTTGTAGTTCTCATTGGAATACAAGTGCGGTGACGTCATCACACTTGCAGTCCATTTATTCTTCTTCCTGTCCATGTTACTGAATAACTGTATCTCGGTATGGACGTGGACGGGAGGGAGAATCTGCAGGAGCCAGAGCATTGCTCCCACAATCTACCGTTTGCTGTTGCAATGCTTTACTGGTTTCAAAGCAAAAAAATAAAAAATAATAAATGCACATTATTCTAATATTCTTTTATGGAGAAGTGTGTATTTATTTTTTAATGTACCTTTAAATCAGGGCTAAATTATAATGAAACTCAATAACAAAAATTTAATATATTGCAGATTACTTTCTTTTTTCAGGCATTGTTTTCCTATCACCTAGTAATTTTGTCTGTAACACACATCCTGTCCTAGGGTGACAACCCTCACTCACTGTACTATATCTATGGGGGAGTAGTGTCGCCTCCCTAGGCTGCTCTGCTGATTTGGACTCCAGAACACCTTTCTATCTCCTCTTCTCCGCTACATATGGAGAAGGTGTTTTGTGGTTCATAGTTCAGAAGATAGCTGGGAAAGCAGATAACAATTACTGAGATTTCAGTTCAGTGCACAGAAAGTGACAAGGACACTGGATTTTGGGCAAGAATAACTAGTAACAACACTTCTTCTCCATAGTTGCAGTACAGTGAGTGATTATTGTCACTTTAGGACAGGAAGTGTGTTGCTGGCAGGATCACCCGCTGAAACTAAAGGAAAAAGAAAACCAATGCAACCGACACATCTAGGAACTGTTAAGCTGCAATATATTACATTTCTATTATTGGGTTTAGATATGTCTTAGTTGTTCCTTTTTATAGAAAATATTGTTTTATTAATTGCACTGTCAATTTAGAGAAATGGATTTATAAGATGCAGTTCTTTAATTGAAAGGATTTTTATATTGAATGTGCATCTTGCTACGAATGTTGCAAGCTAAGAAGGTCTGGACATTTTATAAACCAGTCTCCTATGGGAAAATCTTCTATAAAGGACATTTACCTTAGCTGACCAGACAGACATAGAACCCAATGACAGCATTATATCTGATGGCTGTTTTAGTAACTCATTTGGAATCTGGGCAAATGTATATCAGCTCCAGCCAGTGAA